GTATTATCATTTTGCATATAAATTTTAAAATATTAACATTTTATATATACTAAATGGACGAATATACAATTTTACCTTAAGAATATTCCTTAATACAGTTAAATTATATACTTCGTCTATCCATCAAATCTATATCTGCCTTTCTTTTCTAAAAATATGCATTTTTATTTTATATCCATTTAGTTGGGTACAGAGTTTTAAATATTATATAATTATGAAATAAATTAGTAAAAATAATTATGATATAATTAAAATATTTATAAATTAATATAATTAAATAATTTAATTAAAAAACTATAAATTATAAATTTTAAAGTGTAATTAAAATGTATAATTATATTTTTTTAAAAAAATAATTTATGTAGGACGAAGAAATATGAATTATTATTATTATTATTATTATTATTATTATTATTATTTGTAAATGACTTTTCGTTGCACGTGTTTGCTGTTGCGGTCCAACTTGGGTTTTAATTTTCTTACCAAATTAATTTTCTACGTATTTCACATACAATCTTGTTTATATCTATATTTTTATTTTATTTTATTTTTAAAAATGATCTAAGTGGAAAAATAAAACCCTATAAGATCTTAGCCAAATCCAATGAACTTACAAACCAAACGTGTCAAACTTGCCTAGTAGTCTTTTAGTTATTTTGTTAATCAATTTTAATGACAAATAAATAAATAATAAATACTCTCGGAACGGTGGTATTTGTTTTTTATATGTAGATTTTTTAATGTTAGTATTATATTGGATTATAGTAAAAAAGACAAAAATACCTTGTTAGTATGGTGTAATATAAAAGTAATGACATTTGTGTAATATATTGCAAGTTGAAAGAGTATTTATTATGTTAGGCATGTAGTACAATTACTAAATTAGAAAAAGTAACCTTGTTTTGGGACGAACGAAAATAGAAAATTGTAACCTTTCTATGGGACAGAGGAAATGAAGTATATACATATATAATTACTATAGAGAATTATTATTATTATTATTATTATTATTATTATTATTAGGTTTTTAAAATAATCATGAGTTGAATTTTATTTTATTTAATTTTTAATCTCAATTTGTTAAGAATTTGAGGTTAAATTTATATCCATTTGATAAGGAAAATAATATAAAACATTATTCGAGTTCAATTGTTTAATTTTTTTATTATTATTATATTTTTTTGTATTAGTTTGGCTCGACTTACTTTATTATTTAAAAAAGAAAAAGAAAATAATAAATTAGAGCTTAGATTAAAAATAAATAAGATTAAATGATTAGTTTTATTAATTATTTTGCTGTATATATTACAATTAAAGGATAATATAATACTCCTTCCGTCCATTTACAAAGTTTACATTTACTTTTGATTAAAAATAGTGTAATGATATTTTTGCCCTTACTTTTTTGTGTAAAAGTAATGATGTGATGTAAAATAAGGGTATTTGTGAAAAAAAATAGGGTATTTAATGAAATGTTAACTTTGTAATTGAACGTCCCAAAATAAAAATATATAAACATTGTAAGTGGGTGGAGGGAATATATAGTTCTAGAGATACGTGTAAATATTAATTCAATTCATTTACAACTATTATCAAATGTTCGTCACCAAGGATGATGGTAAAATAAGGAACCTAAGATTTGTATACTCCATCTGTCCACCGCCTATCTATTAATTTACTTTTTGCACGTAAATTTTAGTATATTAATGTTATATTGATATGTGGTACGATTGATATACATAAAGATTATTATGCCCCTTAACATTTATGGTATTAAGTGGTATTATTTGATGACATTTGTGTAATATTATATAAAGGGTGTGATAATTTTATATTTTAGTGGAAGATACATTTACTAATATATGTCCAATGGACAGACTAAAATGACAAAATAGATAGATTGACGGTGGACGGAGGGAATATTTTTCTTTTATATTTATTTATTGAATTTGTAAAAATTGAATTAAGTCAAGTTTACAACTGATTATTTTTAGGTAATTACATGGAATTAAATAATGTGAATTTATTTGGCAAGTGAGGTGAATAAAATAAAATATAATACTCTCTCCGTTCCCAGATACCGTGTCTGCTACACTGTAGACACGGTATTTTAGGAAGGGTGTAATTAGTAGATAATTAAGAATATATCAGTGAAAATAATTATTCTATAATATAAATAATTATAAATTAATATTAAGATAACTAATTAGTTTAATTAAAATAAAATAAAAATTAAAAAATTTAAAATAAGATTAAATTGTGTAATCATTTTTCGAAAAAAGAAAGTAACATGATATATGAGACGGACAGAAACGACAATGTGAACATGATGTTTGGGACGGAGGGAGTACAACATAGTGTAATGTCGTGGTCAGTGTGATTGACGACTTTAATAAAATGTCAAATTGAATAAAAAGTCAGGTTGACTGATTCCGAGACGGCGTCGTATTGCATTAATTAATTATTATTATTATTATTATTATTATTATTATTATTATTATTATTATTATTATTAGCGCATGTGTATAATCCTCTTGACCTCGTTCCATTCATATCTTTGAATTCAAAATTTTATTGTTAATATTGAGAATGGAGTGTTTAGTGAATTTTAATATTATTTGAATTAAACAATAATATAAATAGAGGATCTATTATATATATTTATGTTATATATATATATATATCTTTATATATAGAAGTTATATGATATGTATAAATATAAAAAAGTACTATTTCTGTCCAGTCGTAAATATGATTTTCATGTTATTTTTTAATATTAATTAATATATTAAATTATAATACAAATCAAGAAAAAATAACAAAAATATCTTTATTAAGATATCATAATACAAATATAATACTACATTCGTCCGACTCTAAGAGTCTCATTTATTTTTTGCATGTTGATTTTTGAATATTAATTATTAAATGAAAAACATATTACAAATTAAAAAAAAAATGACAAAAACGCTTTTATTAGTGTCTTAATAATATTTATACAAAAAATTATACAAATATAAATATATTTTTAATATTAAATACAAGACCTTACAACAGAACGGAGAGACAATAATATGAATAATATTAAATAGTGGCTCTACGTTGGTGATGTCTTGAATTCAAATATCCAGTGGCTCAAAAAGTTTGGAAATTTTGCTAAATATTATTATTTTTTATTTAGAAATATTAGAAAATTTATTTTATTTATTTGATTATTTATATTTAATTACAGATAATATGTATAAGGTCCTTCCAAAGTTAGAAGCGGCAAGCATCTTAAACGGCTGGTAAATTAAAAAAAAAAAAAAAAAAAAAAAAAAAAAAAAAAGCATCTTAAACGGCTGTTTGGATGATAGGTACTGAAAAATGTATGAAGTTCAAGTCAATCACCATGCAGAGTAGTTACCAACCAAACACTGTACCAACTCAGTTAGACTTGGACAAGGTGAGCCTGACTTTGACCATTAGGAAAGCTGTCACCTTTTCCAGGTCTTCTTCCTATTTTTCAATTTTAATTACTCCGTCCGTCCAGTGTCTGTTACACCGTAGACACGATATTTTAAATAGAATGTAATTAATAAATAATTAAAAATATATTAGTGAAAATAATTATTATATAATATAAATAATTATAAATTAAAATTAAGATAACTAATTAGTTTAATTAAAATTAAAAAAAATAAAATTAAAAAATTTAAAATGAAATTAAAGTGTGTAATTATTTTTCAAAAAAGAAAAGTGACATAGTATATTGAACGGATAGAAACGGCAACGTAGACATGGCATCTGGGACGGATTGAGTATTACTATTAAAAACATAAAATCTACGATCGTATTTCTTGTTACAAATAAATAAGAAAATAGGTTTATACCTTATTTAAATGAGTTTCTCACTGTGTAATTGTGTTTTTAAAAATAATAAAATATATATTTAAAAGACACAAAAAAAATTATTATTATAAAATATAGTGATTCAACAAATAATTACAAAAATACTTTATTCTTCTCCATTCAAAGCATTATTTTGATTTGTCTAATTTTAAAAAATTATTATTATATTGGTACCAAAATACTTTTAATTTTTACTTAAATTACAAATATATCATTACTTATACAATTATTTTATAAATAAAGTCAAATAAAGTCACTTTCACTAACTAATATAATACTACTCCCCCTATCTGCTTTAGGGTCTCGTTTACCTTTTACGTCATTGTACTTAACATTAAAAGTATTACTCCCTCCCTCCCAAAAGTATAGTCTTATTGTATTGGACACGAGATTTAAAAAGTATTGATATTATATTGATAGTCGGTAAAAAGTAAGGATAAATAACTTTTTTGACCTTGTGAGTATATTAGTGTAAAAAGTAGTGACAATTGTATAATAATAATGAAAAAATAAGAATAGTTTTATGATAATATGATTATTTATGAAAATAAGACTATTGTTTTGGAACGGAAAAAAACGGTAAACAAGACTATTGTATTGGAACTGGGACGGAGGGAGTATTTATATTTGTATAATTTTTTTGCACAAATGTCATTATAATAGTATTACAAAACACAAATAAAAATATGTCATTTTTTTTAATTTTGTACTACGTTTTTATATAATAATTAATATTCAAATATCAAAATACAACAAAACTCTTATAACCGGACGAAGGTAGTATTATCTTTTAATTTATTATAAAATCCCAACAAGTGTCATTTGGTTGGTTTTATTCGAAGGGAGTATAAAGAAATTAATAATAAAATAGTCCTCTCACTGTTATTGTTTCTATTCACAAGAAACTGAGAATGAGAGAGTAAGAACAAAAAAAAAAGCAGCAGAGAAATAAATGGCTGGATTTATGTCGAACGTTAATTAATTAATGGTTAATTTGTTGATAACTTTCTTTTCTTCTTCTTCTGTGCTTTCTTTCCCACGACTAACCATCTCTCTCTCTCTCTCTCTCTCTCTCAATGTGACTTTCTATATATAGAGGGTTGAAGAGAGAATAATGTTCTGTTGGGTCTGAAAATTCATGATGGAATTTACAACCGTACTGGATACTTCTTCTTCATTGGATCTTAATCTCAAAATCCTCCAAGGCCACCCTCTGCCTCTACCCCTGGTCTGTCTCTCTCTCTCTCTCTCTCTCTCTTCATTTTAAGGTTCTTATCTACTCATCATCCATCCCCATCTCTCTCTACATATATATATATATATATATGTAGAGAGAGAGTTGTTGATAGACAATTACAAGCCAAGCTATGCTCATTGAAGTTAGCAAAAACTGATCCGCCACGGCAATCCAATGCGATAATAAGCGGGACGGGTTATAGTTGACTAGTTTAACCCGTTTAAAGTATTTGATCCGACACGAACCAGGCACAACCCATTGTCAGCTCTAGTTAATCATAATGACTCGAAAAACTAACTCAAAGAGTTCTCAACACAGCTCAATAAAACGATAAATTCGTTTTATCATTCATTATAGAATGAATAGAATTCAAGTTTGAACTCGAACTCAGCTCGATAAAAACTAAATCTTAGCGTCGAAAAACATGGCTTGATTTTTTCTTATATGTATATGACAGAAAGGGGACTTGATGGAAGAGATAGAAAGGGTGAGGGCAGAGAACAAGAAACTGGCTCAAGTGTTGGCAGCCATGTCCGAAAGCTACAATCAGCTCAGAACCAAACTAATCACCACCCAACACGACAACAAAAGCGACGCTGCCCCGAGGAAGAGAAAAGCAGAAGCCACGACAAACAGCAGCTCGAAAAATCATCGAAACAATAATGATAGATATAGAGGAGGAGATCAATCTTACAGTAGCTCCAGCGACCATCCCGGCAAGGTCAAGATTTCACAGATCCATGTCCGAGCCAAAGCATCCGAAGCAGGCCTTGTAAGTTCACTGCAGATGATCGATTGTTTGTCCTAGTTCAGACAGTAACCATCATATACATGCGTTGAAATTGCAGATAGTGAAAGATGGGTACCAATGGAGGAAATACGGGCAGAAAGTGACGAGGGACAACCCGTCCCCTCGAGCTTATTTCAAGTGCTCGTTTGCTCCGTCGTGTCCTGTCAAAAAGAAGGTAATAAACAACAACTCAGAACACACAATAATGGATTCTTGCAACATTAGCATATTACCTTCCTTATTTTCCGAATCCCTTTCTGTTCAGGTCCAAAGAAGCATCGAAGATCAATCGATCGTGGTGGCAACATACGAAGGAGAGCACAACCATCCACACCCCTCGAGTTCCGGCTCCAACCGGGGCTCATCTAAACCAACAATCACCCTTGATCGCGCCAAAGGAAAGGCGGGAACCACTCAAGAAGAAGCATCAAGCTCAAGAGGGATACCTGACGCTGAGACGGAGGCCGAGCAACACTTCTTGCTGAAACAGATGGCTTCGAACTTGACCAAAGATCCCAACTTTAAAGCCGCGTTGGCAGCTGCGATTTCAGGGAAATTCCTTCAGAACAAAAATGATAATAATGATTATTCGTGATAAAATAGATTAGAGAAAAGGTAAGAAGTGTACCTGGGATTTTTGTTACCTGTGGTGAGGTCGGGAATGGGAAATTTTGGATTGATATAAGTTGGGAGAAGAACAAAATAATTAATATTGATTTATACACAAACTTCAGTCGGGAATAGGTCCATACAAATTGTGGGAAATTTCACATACTGGATTACAGATTGCTCATGTTTTAAGCACCCCATGAGTTTACTACCTCGACAGGCTCAGGTTGTCGATGTCTCTCACTATTTCAGCTTCCAGTGCATCTCCAGGCAGTTTAGCTTCGTTCTTGGATGTTATGTCGTCATTCTTACCTGGATTTATGCAGTCTTGATGTCTGAAACAGGTAATGAGATGGTCGTTTGTAATTCCAGCTACTTGCATGAACGAGTAGACAACTGTAGGCCCGACTCCTCGCAATCCTCTTCTAACCATGTCTTTGCTTATTGTTTCTGCTTTTGATGTCTTGATTGGGACTTGTCTAGGATAGCGGAAATTGCTGACGATCGGCTTGTGGTTGACAAAACCCCAAATGTATCTATCAAAGGAGCCAAATTCCTCGACAATCTGCAAAATTGGATACAAAGAACAGATATAAAACAATTAGTATATTTCCTGAAATTCTTTATCGGTGGTTCAGGTGATTGAGTAATCGTTGTTCTAGGTAGACCTAACTTATCCATATGCTTCAAAGCTGCAGTTGAAAACAACTCATGATCATAGATGATAGATCTGTTTCACCATTGTTTCTTCCCGGATTGATCTTTTCAATGAAGCTTATAAAGGTACTGTTGAATTCATTATCCTACTAATAGAAGCAACGCAACTTCAACGCAATGAGGCATACCTTGCAAATGTGACGTCCATTTTCAATAATCGATCTAAGTTTCAGGTCTGATAGAAGAGTGCTAGCAGGGCTTCCTGGTGTCGCAATTTTCTTCTCACTTAATTTTGACACAGCAATTGGATCAAAGTCCATAAATACTTCTCTGCATTTCACCACATCTTGCATTGATCAGCCTCGGCTGGGGAATAAATTCTAAATTGTATCAGATGAAAATATACCTGAAAATATGCCTTTTACTAAGAATGACTGGCCATGTGAGCTCAGCCAGTGCAGTGGAAAGGCTGAGAAGTTCGAAAAGTTTCCTGTGAATCATCGAATGTAAGAAACTTTCACACGAGGAACCAGGCAATAATAGCATTGTTAATATAAAGTAGAAAACTACAAGGAAATGTTTGAGCAGCATTACATGTCATCATGAACAGGAAGTCCCCATTCCTCGTCATGGAAAGCAGCGTATAATGGATCTTCAAGGAAAAACAAACCAGTCGAAACAAGTTATTGCAGGAACAGAGATGTGAGTATTTCCAAACAGTATAATATGGTAAGGGCTATAGATGACATTCTGAAGATCCCATCAAGTTCTGTATGTTAGCTGCATCAATCCACTCCGCACATGTATTTTACAAAACACAGAAGCATAGAACAAAATCAAATGAGTAAGAGAATAGAAACGAAAATCAAGCTCATGGAAAGCCTAGTTTAATGAATCTCCACAATGACAGAGTCTTGATGCATTTAATCAGTGTTTTTGAGAAGATAATTTGAATCAAATGTTCAAGTAGCTGTAACCAATGCTACCCATCAAAGATAACCTAAGAAACTGAAATTCATGCTACAATGGCTTCAACATAACCCTAAACTCTTGGTCGATTTTAGCTCATTTTCGAAAGATTCATTCAGCAAGCAACACAAACAGCTTGGTATGAAAGTAGATCACACAATAATCTCTACAATTCCATGAAGCAGGAGGAAGAAATGTACCAGTATTTGGTGTTACCCAACCACACTTTTTCTTCACCACAGCACTATCAGCTTCAATAGCATCGCTATCAACCTCAACATTATCCCCGTTCCCCTCCTTAGTCTCGATTTTCTCGCTTTTAACGGCCAATTGCTGCTTCGTCTTCGAAGGTGTCCTCGGAGTACCACTCCGTCTGCTAATCCTTCCAGTCGACGCTCGGCTGTGAGAAGAATCGGATGAAGCATCAGAAGAGCACGAAGCATTTAGAGATAAATTTGGCTGTCTCTGCCTCAATGTCGTGGCGACGCTGCTGAAACTCTTCCTCAAACCCACCGGAGACGGAATTTTATCCGAAGCCATCCCCGGCTCCTGCAACGCCACAGGCGACTTCTTCCCCTTCGTCACCTCCACATCCTGTATCCTCCGCGTCTTCTCACTCTTCGGCTTCACAATTGGCTTCCACAACTCCGCGGATCTGGATTTATTCCCCGCCGGACCGAGCACCGGCCGAACTTCAGGATCGCTCAAATTCATCGATTTCACCTTCGGCGGTCCAGACATTCTCGATTACCGGAGCTACGAGCGCTAAAATCCAACAGACAGATCCAATTTTCAGCAGAATCACACACGGTAACGCGAATTAGGGCTTGTCGAGTGAGGCTTCAGTTGAAGCGCACTGTACTCCTCTGCAAAGCAAAAACAATCGAAATGCACAATGACAACATCTGAAATAAGCAGAACGACGACTGTACGTACAACCAGCGGCGGTGGTGGCGCCGCCGCTAACGGCCGCGGAGGAGCGTTACGGCGGTGGGTCAACGGCGTCGAAGTACAAAAGGGTGTCGAAGAAAACATACAACGGAGAGAAAATAAAAAGAGTTGTGAGTTGTAGTGTGAGGGAGCATTAGCGTACAGACATTGCAATAAATCTAACCACTCAGATCTCGCCACCTGGCATAACCATTTATTTATGTAAATTACTTATTAGTTTGTTTACTGTTTTATTTTTAATAATTAAGGAGTATAATTTATTAGTTAGTTTAATGTTTATTTAAAAAATTTTAATTAAAAAAAAATTAACTTCAATATTTGAAATGAAAAAAAATTAAAATGAATTTGAATTCTGTTTACAGAGACGCTTAATAAATCATAAAAAATATATAAAAGTAAAAAAACCCTTAAAATAGTTGTTATAAAAAATAAAAAATAAAATATTTAATTTAAAATAATACTATATTTTATATTTTTGACACAATTTTTCATATCACATGTCGGAGCCAATAATACTTTTATCTTTTTGCATTGTTCAATTTTTTTAAAAAATTATAATATATATTACAAAATATCATATTAATTATTAACTTTTTATTATTTTCAAAATTACAAAATTAGATATGTTTGTTTTGTGAAATAGTTGAAAATGAATTTTTTTTTTTTTTTATAGAAGGTAAAAGTAAGTTATATAAATAATATAAAAATAATGAATGTGTCCAATATATTAAAATTTTTTCGAAAATTCGTGTATGAAAAAAAAAAAAGAAAAAAAAAGTACACTATGAATTTCAATAATTTTAAGGTTAAGTAATGTTTAATTGTAATAATTTGTATGTTGAATATAATATTTTCAAATAAATTGAAATATTTAATAATATTAAAGAACAAACCAAATTCATTTGTATAAATATAAAAATACTTATATGTATATCAGATTCTATGAACATAATTTTTAATTTGAAAATTGTTTACATTTATTTATTTATTTTGGTGAAAGTATAAATAAAAAGATTCAAAATGGCTTTCATTTAAATCTAAGCAACAAAAGTTTTGGTCTGAAATCAAAGTTTGAAACTTAGGTCTCAACTTTTTCAACCTTTTGGCTTTATTTTTTAAAATTATGAATATTAATAAATTTCTTTTAAAGTACAAATTAAAAATATGTTAAAAGCATTTGATTTGTTATTAGATTTTAAAGTTCTTTTTCACGTTTCCAAATATAGATTTGATTTAATATTTTTTTTTTAAAAAAATTAATGAATAATAAAAATTCGGAAAAATCCTTAGGGTGTGTTTGTTTGGAAGTTTGAATTTTGAATTGAGATTTGCATAGCAAAAAATTTGATTTTGGATAGTTGTATGATGTGATATAAATAGGCGTTGAGGTGATGTTTTGAATGTAAAATTGATTTTTAATATAATATAAAAAATAAAAAATAAGTATTTGATTTGATATTTTTGGGGAAAAAAATAGAATGAATAATGTATTTAAAATCCAATCCCCAAACAAACACATCCTAAATAAATACACTCTCAGAGTTCGGGTTTGTTCAACATGGTATTTTAGGTAATGTAGATTAATAAATTATTAATAATAAACTATAATATTATTTTATTAATTTTTATATGAGTAGTGTGGTTAGTATTTTAAATATTTTTAGAATTATATTTTAATACAGTATGAATATCATTTCATATAGATAATAAAATATTATATTATAATACAAATAAATAAAAAATGTATTTATTTAAAATAATTTATTTTCTGAATAAAAACTCATTCAAGACATATTTAAAATAAAAGAAAAAATTAAAATTGGGCCGACCCAGCCCACCAAGGAAAAGGGCCCATGTCCGGGTCAGCTTTCCAAGCTCAATTCAAAACTAGGCCTGGCCAGATAAAAATTGCACTTAACCCCCTCAACTCAGAACCTTCCCACATCCCACCCCACAAAACCCCAAATTCCCACATCCGAACCCCACACCAAAACGCCCCACTTATCCCCGCATCTTCACACACTCAAATCCAACGGTCAATAATAATTTTTTTAAAAAAACAATCCAACGGTCAATATTCACCCACAGTTCCACCGCCTTATCTTCTTCCTCCCTCCCACTGTAACCTCACTCGTAACCCTCATACCTCTCCAATGGCGGCCACACCTCTCCCCCCAAAATCAATCCCCACCGCACCTCCGCCAATCCCCACCGTCCGATTCCCCAACCTCCCCCTCCCCACCACCAATTCCCCCCACACCAAAAGGACCAATTCCATGTCTACAAACGCGAAGAAGTCTCCATGGACGTGGCTCGATTTCTTCGACGACGGCGAAGATCCTGACATGGAGTACGGTGAGCTTTTCTCCGACGGGAAGCAGGACGAGGATCCCCGGCCGCCGGACGATCCGGAGAATCCGTACGGATTCCTGAAGTTTCCGGCGGGGTACGCCGTGGAGATCGCGTCGCTGGGATTGAAAATCCGGGGGGATGTGCGGCGGTGCTGCTGCGTCGTCGACGGCGGCGTCTACGAGAACCTGCTGTTTTTTCCGGCGATTCAGCTTATCAAGGATCGGTACCCCGGCGTGCAGATCGATGTGGTGGCGACGGCGAGAGGGAAGCAGACTTATGAGATCAATAAGAATGTCCGGTGGGCGAATGCTTACGATTTGGACGACGATTTTCCGGAGCCGGCGGAGTACACCGACATGATCGGAGTTCTCAAGGTCCGTCATCTTCCATTGCTTTCTTCTAGAAGATGATTAAATTCAATAGTATTTTTAGCTCGCCAGACATGTTAGCTTTTCCAATATGCTCCTTAGTCCTCCAAATTTATTTTCTTTCTAGTCTCTTCGTTAAATTTATTCGGCTATTAATTTTATCAAAATTAACAAATCTAATATTTAATTATTATTTTTGTTCTAACATTTATTTACAACAAATACCGCTAATTTTATTACATTATTTCTATTTATATACTTTACTTTTTAACTAAATTTTAAAAAATAACTCCAACCTACCTCTATCACTTTTTTAATAAAATATTCATTTTTAAGACACGAACCCAAATAAACTAATTTTAATGGATAGAGAGAGCATAATTTTTTTAAATAATAAAATTTTAATATAAAAATAAGATAAATTAAAAATATTACTCCCACCGTCCATATTGGATGTCCGTGTTACGATAGAATTTATGATAAGTATAATGGGTAGATAATTAAGAAGGTATTAATAAAAATAATTATCATATAATATAAATAATTGTAAATTAAAATTAAAATAACTAATTAATTTAATTAAAATTAAAAGAATTGGCTAAATTCCACAAAACTTACCCGTTGTACTTCTAAAGCTGCATCAAACTCTCTGATTTCATGAATTCTGTATCTAACTCCCTCGGCGGTCTTTATTTTTAACGGTGTTTGACCTAAATGTGCCCAAATTGCGAATAAATTTTAGAATATCAAATTTCTAAACCTCTAAAATTACAAATATATTCATTTTTTTTAATATTTAGATTAAAAAAATAATAAATATACTAAAAAATAGTTATTTTTTTGAGGTTCTAAGAGTTTATTTTTACTATTTTTTTAAAATTAAATATAAGAAAAATAAATATATTTGTAATTTTAGGGGTTTGGAATTTGAGATTCTTAAATTTATTCGCACTTTGGGCGCATTTAAATCAAATACCGTTAAATAAAGACCGCCGAGGGGATTAGACGCAGAGTTTATGAAACCACGAAGGAGTTTGACGCAGTTTTAGAAGTACGAGGGATTCGACGCAATTTCGTGAAACTACAAATGGATTTTGTTTCAGTGATATATTGTTTAATTGAAACAACACGCCCGTGTTATAATTAACACGGCCGTGTTTGTTTCAGATCACTTGCCACATTAGCTTCCGTCATTGCCACGTCAGCTTATTCCGTTGAAATTTCAACGGTAGGATAAAAATGATAATTTATTTTTTGTATGGGATTAATTTTAATACTTTCCCCGTCCCATAACAAAAGTATCCATTTTTCCATTTTAGTTTGTCCCATAACAAAGTATCAATTTCCTTTTTTAATAACTGTACTATCTACCTAACATTACAAATACCTTTACAATTTACAATATATTACACAAATGTCATTACCTTTATATCATGCATACTAATAAGGGTATTTTAGTTATTTCTATTTTATTCCTACTATATTCTAATATAATACTAATATTTCTAAAACTACGTGCAAAAGACAAATAGATATCTAATTATGGGACGGAAGGAGTAATTATTTTTGGATGAGACCAAAAATAAAAAAAATAAGTTTCATTGAGACCAAAATTGACTTTTACTCTATATAATATGGGTTGATGTCATTTGTAGAGTATTGTTATATGCTATTAGTTTATATGTTATTATTTATATTGTCGAGTGGTAAGGGGGAGGGGATTGGGTAGCACAAATAGTACTATTATACATAATTATGTATATATTATACTTCTTTCTCACGTCTTTTAAGGGTTATATTTACTTTTTACGTCAATTGTATTTAACATTAAAAATATTTTTATATTTGTATAATTTTTTGTACAAATATCTTTTTATTAGTATAGTACTAATGAATTTGCTGGGTTCGAATATTCGTCTTCGTTACTCCATGTAACTTTCGATGGTTCAATTTATGCAGTCGAGGTACTATGATATGATATTGTCGACGAAGCTTGCGGGGTTCGGCCACGCGGCGTTCTTGTTCATGTCCAGCGCAAGGGACCGCGTCAGCTACATCTACCCGAACGTGAACGCTGCCGGGGCAGGCTTGTTCTTGTCCGAGACCTTTCGACCTGACACCGCGAATCTATCCGACGGCGGATTTGATATGTAAGTACATCCGAAGGTGTGTTTGTTTGGAGGTTTGGATTTTGTATTGATATTTAAATAATAAAATTTTGAATTTAAATAGTAGTATAAATAGGTATTGATGCAATATTTTGAATATAAAATTGATTTTAGTACTCAACCTGTCCCAAAAAATTGTGCAACATATGAGTACGGCACAAGAATTTAGGTGAGTATTATTAAGTAGGATAATATAAGATAATTTTGAGATTATGTGATGTGATTGGAGAGATAAAATATATATTTATTTATTTTTACTTGAGTGATGTGATAGGATAAAATAAAGTATATATTTATATATATAAAAATATAATTAATTATTTCTAAATTTGAAAATATTGTGAGTTTGGGAGAAGAAAATATTGCAGGCTATTTGAGACGGATGTATAATATGTGTTTGATTTTTGATATTTTTGGAGGAAAAAAATTTGAATGAATAATAATTTTGGATAGAATCTCATAACCGAATACATCCGAACTTGATTCTTGTATCGATCGAAAACTTATTTAGCTATTTTCTTTTTGCGGCGTTTTGCGTTGTTCAGGTACAATCAGATGGTTAATTGGCTCGGGAGGCCGTTCCGGAGTGTTCCAAGGCAGCCGTTGCCTCCGTTCAAAGTGTCCATTTCGAGGAAAGTGAAGGCCGTAGTCGAGGATAAGTACAAAAACGCCGGCGTGTCGAAGGGAAAGTATGTCGTGATTCATGGGATCGAGTCGGACTCCAAAGCTTCGATGCAATCGAGGGGAGACGTCGATAGCTTGCTCCCGATCGAGATATGGGACGAGATCGCTACCGCGATAACGTCCGTTCGTCGATTTCACTAATTTATCGAATCGAATCCTTGTTCATCGATGATTGATTGATTATATACGTATACGACAGGGGACTAACGCCAGTGTTCGTCATCCCCCACGAGAAGGAGCGGGAAGACGTCGAGGAAGTCGTCGGGTACGACGCTAGCATCGTGTTCATCACCACTCCCGGGCAGGTTCGATTTCAATTTCGATTTCGATTTTTAACGATCTGACGCATCTAAACTCGTTGCGCTATTTTGCTTAGCTGGCGGCGCTGATCAACGACTCGGCCGGGGTTATATCTACGAACACAGCCGCCGTACAGCTCGCCTATGCGCGCGAGAAACCGAGGCAAAAATAGAAAAAATACATTTTTTTTTTCTCTCGAAATTGTTTATTATGATTTTTACGTGACCTTTCGTGCGATGTCTGAAAAATCGTCGGTTTCTTTTGCAGTATAGCATTGTTTTGTTCGGACGAGAAGGCGAGAGCGTTCGTGCCGAAACCGGAGGAGAGGAAATGTGCGGTGATATCGTCGAAGACGGGAAAGCTTTCGGACATCGACGTTGAAGCTGTTAAGAATGCTGTCCAAATCTTTTGCATGCCGTTAGCCATTGTGCAAAGCTAATTCGACAATGTATATAAGATTGGGCCTTAAACGGGCCTAAGATTGGGCTTCTGTTATTGGGCCTTAAATTGGGCTTTTAAGTTTGGGCCATAAATGGGCTTAGATTAGGCTTCTAAGGTTGGGTCTTAAATGGGTTTAAAATTTGGGCTTATGAATTTGGGCCTCATTGGTCTAGGTTATTGTTATTGTAATAGGAATTATTCATGTGTAAATGATATCTTTGAAATTGTTTTGTAATTAATTTCTTTTGAATTAATATATATATATGTGTATATATAAAAATGACACCGTACTGATTTTCCAAATTACCATTTATAATATATACAAATAATATATATATATATTGTGTTGTGTAAAGACATATTATTTGTTTATAATTATATGTGTATTGTACAAGAGTATATGTGTTAAAATCAATTGTTGTGTGTGTTTTATGAGATTATAGCATGTGTTGTATTTGTATTATATTAACATATCCAATATATTGTCTGTAATAATATTATGTATTGCCAGATAGCTCACAATGTAATTTTCAGTTGAATTTTAAATTCAACACTATAGCCGTCGCCATATATATATATATTGATCGATCAATATATTAATATATAATAACACATACTGTAATACTCCCTCCGTCCCAAAACTATAGTATGAGTTGTGTTTGACACGAGATTTAAGGAATATTGATATTATATTGCTAATGGATAAAAAGTACGGGTAAAAGACTTTTTTTTACCTTTGTGAGTATATTAGTGTAAAAAGTAGTGACAATTGTGTAATAATAATAAAAATGGTAATTTTATAGTGATATGATTATTTATGAAAATAAGACTATTATTTTATGACGGACAAAAATAGTAAACAAGATATATTGTATAAATTGTTAACATGTACCGTATATTCTATTTTATACATATATGTTAAAATATCTTTGTATTTTGAGAACACCTATAGTAAAAATTATTTAGACTATTTTAATGATTGTGAATTTATGTGTTGTATTTCTATTTATATAAATAAATATTTTATATTATTAGTTTATATCACATCCCATTTATTGCTAATGTGTATTTTAAGTTTATTATTTCAAAAACAATGTAACATTGTAGTTCAATTTTATTTTTATACTTGGATTACTTTTTTATTATTTTTGAGATGTGATGTGTAATTTTATTTTTAGATAGTCAATGTATAATTTTGTTTTTGTTTTTTTTTTTAAAAAATAATAGTGTTGTAATTGTTTCATAAAAGATTAATTTATGTATATATGTTAAATATTTATTAAAAATATTTATTTTTCTGTATTTTAGTTTAAATTTATTTAAAAATGTCAACAATCTATATTAATACTCACAATGTGAAAAGAATGTTAAAAATATAATGAAGTGAAGAATTTTAGTATCTTATGAAAGACAAATCATCCCACTTTTTTATAATACAAAATGTAATCCACACAACAATCTTTTCATAGATATTCTTACATCATTAATAAATCAATAACAATAAATAAATAAATAAATAAAAGAAAAAGTAAAAAATTAGGTCAATAAAATGAGAGACAAATAGAATTAGAGAAGAGAGGACAATTTGGTCAATAGATTCCAATGCATCTTGGATTTGCCTTAATTATAATTTTTTAAAAATAAAGAAAACAAAATACTAATAATTATTTAAAGATTAGCAATTCTTGAATCAGATTCTTGGGAATATAAAAGAAAATTCTTAGGTTGTGTTTGTTCAAGGTTTTTAACTTTTTTTTAACTTCTTTTTTTTTTTTTAAAAGAAAAATATCAAAACTATATATATATTTTTTAAATTAATATAAAAATCAATATCTATTTTCATAAAATCAAATAACTATTCAAAAATCAAATTCAAAATTTAAATTTCCAAACAAAACATAAGTGAGAGTTTGTTTATTTAGTGTTTAGTTTTTTTTTTCTTTGTTTTTTAAATTTTATATATATATAGAATGAAAAATTGCGTCAATAATATAAAAAATAGGGTAAACAGTTTTTTTTAGTCTTGTAATTGGATCTCCTTATCATTTTAGTTTCATAAGTCGAGCATGTCGCAAACTAGTTTCATAAGTGAAAAATTTTCGCTGTTTTAGTCCTTTGGCCCCAGAGACGCCCGCGTGGCTCGCCGGAGGCTACGTGTCCGCCAGGTCAGCGACACCTGGCGGACACATGAATTTTATTAGTATTTTTTTTTTCATTTTTTAAAAATTTATTTTAATTTATTTTTAATTTTATTTGCCTTTTTTAAGTTTTTTCAATTAAAAAAAAAATTAAAAATAAAAATAAAAAAATCCACGTGTCCGGCAGGTGTCGTTGACCTGGCGGACACGTGGCTTCCGGCGAGCCATGCGGGCGTCTCTGGCGCCGGAGGACTAAAACAATGAAAATTTTTTACTTATAGGACTAGTTTGCGACAGGCTCCACTTACGAGACTAAAATGATAAAGGGTCCAGTTACGAGACTAAAAAAACAGTTTACCCTAAAAAATATATATATATAATATTTTTTGGTTGCACGATAGAATCACATTTATTTGTATTTATATACTTAAAAATGGCTATGAAGGAAAAAAATATATTGAGAATTCTATGGTATGATGCATTATAGAATCACATTTATTTGTATTTATTATTTTAATTTAGATAAAATTTAATATGTGCTGTACACAATTTAAATTAATTTAGTTATGTAAATTATTATCATGCGTTGTTAGTGTTGTCTAAATTATTATTCCCTCCCTCCCAAACAAGGTGCAATATTTTCATTTGGCACAGGTTTTTTTAGGTGAGTAGTATTAAGTAGGATAATTTAGAAATTAGGTGATGTGATAGAGAAAGAAATATATATTTTATTATTTTATTTGGATGATGTGAGGTGATAAAGTGTGGGGCAAATATTATGTATAATTAATTATTTCATATTTTGGAAATATTGCATGGTGTTTGAGACATACCAAAAAAGAAATGTTGCATGGTGTCTGGGACGGAGGAAGTATTTGTTATATTTCACTCGTTGTTAATATGGTGCTTATTAAATTCAATAATATTTATATATAATTTAGCTAAAAATAAATTAGTCAATTCGTATCTTGTCTATTGAGTTTGTTCACTTAGTAGTTTTAAGTGAAATAATTTTTTATAAATATAATTAGAAAAAATATAATCAATCTGTTTATTCAATATTTTTCAATGAAATAATTTCGTATAAATATTATTTTAAAATTACAAATATACACACATTAATATAATATATATTATTTATTCATAAAAAGTAAACTATTCAATACAAAATATATTTTTTTTATTTTACCAACTTACAATATATATATTAACATAATAAATATAATTTATTTTATCTACTCATAAAAATTCAACAATTAAACACAATATATTATTTTATATATTACTAACAAAATTTTTTGAATCTAACATAAAATAAGAAAAGAAAAAAAAAAAAAAAACAGTGAACAAATGCATTATTTAAAAGGGAGATATCATGCATGATTATTTATTCATAATATGTTAAGGTTAAAAAAGGTTTCCACCCATTAAATTAAAGTTGCAATATCTTATTTCAACTTTGTGAAAAATATCTCCAATATAAATTTTAAAAATTTAGGAATTTATTTAATATATATTTTTGTTGTCATATATTCAATTTTTACTTGTTTTTTTTATTATTTTTAACAATTTGTCTGACTGTAATTTAAAATTAATTTAAATTAATATATTGATTTGAATTTTTATTTAAATTTTCGTGTCAGAAACAAATACTATACTATATTCAGAGCAGAAAAAGAAAAATGAAGAAATAATAAATTATATAGTTATTTTCATAATACTAAAGTTAGGCATAATCATATGATATGATGTGTACACAATTGTTGAATGAGACTCTTATAGTAAACAATAATAAATAAATATTTTGGTTAACTCAAAATATTAACATTTAATTATTATTTTACAATAATATTTATTTACAACAAATGTCATTATCATTATTTAAATTTTCATAAATATCTTCATTTACTTTATATTATTCAATCAAATATTCATAATTCTTATCTTCGTGCCCATCCAAAATGAGCTAAAACTTGCGGATGGAAAAAAATATTATACATACAACACATTATTAATATATATACAATAATATATATATATAAATAGACACAATATATATAGTTAATATTCATTCCTTATATTAAAAACTACATAATTACTATTCAATTATTATTATTAATTTTTTTTTTATAAAACTTAGATAATTAAATTCACCGTATAAATAATTAACAATATGAATATCTTCACTTTGTTATTTTTTTTAAATGAGTTTTTTTTATGCGTGAAATATACAAAATTATATCGATAATATAAAAAATAATATTTTATATTAAATTGTAAACTTTTATGATTAAATAAATTATATATATTGAATTAATATATATATATATTCCTTTTGTCTCATTGAAAGGTTACCATCTTTCATTTTCGTTCGTCCCAAAACAAGGTTATTATTTTCTAATTTAGTAATTATACTACCTACTTCACATAATAAATACCCTTTCAACTTACAATATATTACATAAATGTCATTACTTTTATATTACACTATACTAATAAGGATATTTTTATCTTTTTTACTATAATCCAATATAATACCAATATAAAAAAATTTACGTGCAAAAAGCAAACGCCACATTTATTGCGGGACGGAGAGAGTATTATATTTTTATAATATTTATAGAGAATCGTATAAAAAATAAAATAATAATAATAATAAAAAATATTGAGTGAATAAACCCTATTAATTATAGGGGCAAACACACCCTAAACATAATGGAAAGATTTTGACACTTAGAAGTGATTATCACTCATTTGGCCAATTTGCAAGTGGCAAACATTATTAATTGCATGTCCATATCAATTTTGTCCTCTTATGTTCTCTCATTTTATTTTATTTTTTTATTTTTTAAAAAAACAACGACAATTACATTTATCCTTAAGTATAAAAAATATTGATTATTATTATTATTATTATTATTATTATTATTATTATTATTATTATTATGGAGTGTTAGCACTTACTAATTTGAAAAGTAACATATCTAATTACAACAAAAATAATTGATGTAGTATTTAGAATTAAAAATAAATATAAATAATAGCATATTAATAGTATTTCATAATAAATATCTTAAATTATGAAATTGTTTTCATTGTAA